GTCCTCCCTTGGGGAGTGGCGCTTGGCTTGCACTCTTGTGGCCTGCACAGGGTGTGGCCCCCAGCTACTGCAAGTGGGACAGCCCTGCTTTAGGATTATAAATGGGGTTATACTCAGAAGGTTGCTGGGGAGGACTAGACCCTTTCTAGAGCATATTCTTACTACCGTCCTGTTTGTGTTTTTTAACCAAAACAATGTTATCCAGTCAGCACTGCTGAGCACAGCCAGCTGTAGAACAGGGCTGTTCAACTGGGTTCCTGCCCAGCCACCACTCTCCCCATCGCTCCAGCCTCCTTTTCCCTCCGCTGGCTTTCACTGCCTGGCCTGGCCCCAGGGGATAGAGCAGTGCAGCACATCATGGCCCAGGAAGCTGAGAATGAGCCTGAGTCTGCATGGTACAGCATGGGGACGGGATGTCGGCGCATGGTGTGGCTGCGAGAGGGAGGGCATGGGCGTGTGGTACAGCTGTGGGGGACAAGCTGGGTGCTGGGTGGTGTGTGGCCTGGGGGGCCTGTGGCTCACCCTGGTGCAGCCCATGAGACATTCAACCCCCAGCCGCATAGAAATTGGGCAGCCCTGATACATACAGCATTCTGAGGCTTCCCCTCCCTGCTGCATGGGCCACACAGCGTAGATGTACCATGTAAGGTACTTGACTGACAGCGTCACTGCATCGTTAAAGCTAGTTTGCGTTTAACTTACAGAAGGAGAAAGGCCTACCATAGAATCACAGAAAAGCAGGGCTGGAAGAGACCTCAGGAAGCCATCTAGTCCAATGCCGTGTTCAAGTCAAGATTAGCCGTGACTACAACATCCCAGCCAAATGCTTGTCTATCCTGCTCTTAAAAACTTCCAGGGATGGAGATACCACAACTTCTCTGGGTTACTTGTTTCAAGCCTCATAATGAGATAGTTTTTCCTAATATCAGACTTAAATTTCCCTCGCTGCTACTTGAGACCGTTGTTCCCTGTCCTGTTACCTGGGTCCAAGAAAAATAGTTTATCACTACCCTCCATGTAACAAACTTTCAGGTATTTGAAAACTATTTTCACTTCTCCCCTGAGTCTTCTCTTCTTTTGACTAAATAATCCCACTTCTTTTAACCTTTCCTTGTAAATCCTATTTCCTAGACCTCCATTTTTTTTTGCTCGCTTTGACGCGTTTTAGTTTGTCCAAATATTTCTTGAAGTGCAGTGCCCAAAACTGGACATGAGAGGCCTTACAAGTGCCAAAGAAAGTAAAAGAATCACTTCCCTTGCCTTGCAAGTGATGCTTCGATTTATACAGCCCAGTATGCTACTGTCTTCTTTTTTTTTTTTTGCAAGATGAGCGCACCATTAACCATTGGAAATACAACCAGCAAACCCACTCTGCTCTTTTAGAGGCAGCTACAGCTCTTCTCCTCACCTTTAAATACCAAATTTGGGTGCCTTGAATGGACCATCCCTAGTACTTACAATGATTTTAGAATCACATTCTTTAAGCACCTCCACAGTTCTGTTTAGCAGGAGCACTTTCATATCAAGAGCTGAACACATCAAAGGCCTAGGGATAAAATGATGATGGTGGTGTTTGGGTGGGAGTATTTTATGAGCTTACAGCTGCAAGTGACAAAGTGTTCTTGTTCTGAGACTTGTTTTGAAAACTCATAATCACAGCATTTTACAATAAAAAAGGTCTTCATTCAGTATTATGTCATTTTACTCCTGGTATTATAATTAATAAAAACACAACTTTTGAGAAAGGACAGTAACACCGTTAAACAAAATTAAGAATAATAGGGAAAGCCTTCTGCAACCATATCAAAACCCATTTAGTGCAAAGGTGAAGGGAATTTTAGCAAGGTTCAATGAGAAGTGTTCTTTATATGCTCATTTTGAGAAAAGGCATAGATTCAACCTCTGAATGAGATCAGGCTGCCAGCTTCTATACTGAAGCTTAGAACACCATCTATATTAACACAAAGGGACTGGAACACAATATGCACGACCATTATATATATATATATATATATAAATGAGAGAGATTTTCCACATAACATATTCAGTTTTAGAAAAGAGTCCCAACTGATCAGCATGTTTTGCTTTCTGTCACTAAGGGTGCAGAGCCATTCTGGACCACTGCACACAGCAGACAGTTATCATCTGCTTGTCTGTCTCAATATAAAGTATGAGCTAACTGCAAAGTCCCTTTGGTTCGGATGACTGTTTTCTTGAGGCTCCACAGCTGCCACATTTCTTGCACACAGAAAAAGATTACATCTGCTTTTCTGTGGAAGTTCCCGAAAAGATGTGCTCATCTTTGCACATCTTGTGCACATCTGTCCCATTTGGGAGGACGCCTGGCGTGGGATGATTCATACGGTGGTTTCGTCTGCATTCTTCTTCATGAGCTTGGCAGAGAGCAGGGAATGCTGAACTGGATGGGGGCTCCTGGAGTCTGGAATCATTAAGCGGACTTTCTGATTGGTCCTTCTCCACTCCGAATAAAGCTGGCAATGATAGCGGAATGAAACCTGATGGACAACAACAGATCGGCCTAGTTAATGAATACCGGGGCTTGCTATGGACACTGCAGTATAGACAGAAAGCAAAATATTTATGCCTATTAAAGCGCAATGTCAATAAGAACCAAAGGGAGTAAGGCAGCTGGAGCAGTTCCCTCCAGCATTTATTCCTGCACCTTTTTCTCACAACCCCCTGAAACCAAGGGAGCCAATATTGTGCCCCAACTGACTGGGATACCTTCCTCATGCTTGAGTTCCTAAGGCCTTTGCTGAGGAATTTTAACAACTGACTGAAAACTAAGGACCAAGGTTTAAAAAAAACCCCCAAACCTGCAACTAGAGAAATCAAGAACTCTGAACAGCCATGTACCGAGAATCTGCTTGATTTGGTTTGCCCCAGTATGTTCTGGTGTCACCAGAAACACTCCACAGAGACACCACTAAAGTACAAGAGTCCCTGCAAGAAGGTACTGAAAAGGAATCTTAGGTCCCTGCCACACATTACATATATAACACAATTAACTAGTTAATCATGCAATAAATTTAGACCAGCTATGTATGCAAAGTAATTATCATGCCATAACATTGTCCATCCAGGTATAAAAAGAGCCAACAAACTACAAAGTTAGTGCTTGAAAATGTAACAACTTTATAGCTGGCTCCTATCCAGGCTTTATATGAACATGTGACAGGGCCCTTAGTGCTAAGCATGGGTTATGCAAAGCACCATATCTGGGCTTGCAGGCAGCTCACTTCTAGGGCTCATGTCCCCAGGGCATTTTGGCAGTGAGGATATTCAGCTTCCCCTTCAACACTCCCCAAGGCAGATCTACGGCAGGATTAGGAAAATGAGCCCTTCTGCAATTAAACGCTGTAACTGGTTAGGTATCAATGGATCTTGCCCTCTCCCTCCATTTTAAAGCTCCTGCGCCGCTTACCTTCATGCTGGGACTTTTCTTACTCTTTCAGCATTTCCTCATTTTCCTCTGAACACATTCCCAATTCAATGAGGCCTTGCATTATGATCCCCTGCTCAGGCCACATCTCAGCCTAAATCTAGAAGTGAGTTGCCTGCAGCAGAAGGAAAGGGTCCCCAGGGACAAACTGAGACCATGGATCCATGGCTCCTGCAATTTCAAATCGGGAATTTTGAGCTGAGTCTTTAAACAAGACTGGGGCTCCCAAATTTGAGGATGAGGGGAGCACCTTTCTCTTATCCAACTACACCACTAAATGCAGGTTTTCTCTTGCCTCTTGCTAGCTTTTCTCTTTCTTTCCGAGTGGCCTAGACAGCCCCACACAAGTGTTTTTAGCAACAGGCCATACCACAGAAGAGAGCAGGGAAAGGATTAACAACATTCCCCCACAAAGTACAGATCTAAATCCAGAAATACACAGAAAAGCAGAAGTGAAGAAGCTAGACAGACAAAAAGAGGGGAACCACAACAGAGGAAGGGACCATGCTAAAGGCAAGAGAAGGCAAAGAGCCAGCAAGGAGGGTCTGGGAACTTTTTCTGACTTTGGCCACTTCGCTCTCACAGCAGGCATGGAGAATTAGACGCAGGAATGGAGAATTAGACCCAGACTGGCAGATATCACATTCAGACTTGCTCTCAGCCCTGCCCCCAAACCCCATGTTCTTAACTGTCTGCTTTAGTTAGCATGCTTCAGAAGAGGGGCAGATGGGAAATCTTTGGAGGAATCAGCTGACAAAGCAAAGAATAACTAGAGTGGTGAGAAATCATGTCAGTTAGAGATTCCTAGTAGCTGGTGGTGCCTTGTTAACTTCAGGGAAAGGAAAGCAGCAGCAAAATGGCAGTGTTAGGCCAGGTCAGCCTGGTTAGCCACCAGTCATCCGTGAGACCTCTGTGTATTGACTCATAAGAAAGGGCTGCTGTGCTGAGACCAGGGGCATGGACAAATGTACATTTTAG